ATTGAAAGCCCTGAATTTCTGATGAAAAGGCTTGTTTTATTCTCTAATCATTCTCATGGAGATTCTCCAAACCTGATCCAATTCGTCAGCATTCTTCTTGAACTATGGACATCAACTTGTGATGTGGTATTGCTACAGTAATGTGCTGCTGCATGTGAATAAGTGAGAGAGTCCCACAAATCCCACATAACAGCTCTTGTTACCCTTTGCAGAACTATGTGATTTGGGGAGTTGTCATTGTACTGATTTTAGTCCTAGCCTTTCATTCTCCCCCAAAGTCGTGACCTCCTAGAACAGAATCCTCCAGTGTTTTGTGTATTCTGTATTTTATTGTTATTAAGACATACAGAGCTTTGGACATAATGACACTCATATTGTTTACTTCTGGTCAGTTTAGTAAATGATGCCTAAATTGTTAGTGGTGACTTGACCTTATCCCCTCTTTTTTTGTGTGTCCTTTCCAAACACAATTAATAATTATTTTCTGTATTATTTCATTTTATTAAGAAAAGCCCCAAATGAGGCAGACAATACATACTTCATGAGTTTGCCCATTAGAAGCCTACATTTGTTTACGATTTCTTGCTTTAAATTGCACATTGAATTCTGTCAGTCACTGAGTTGTTAAGCCATTTGATAACTAACCTTCTGGGCTTAATAAAAATTTTGCCTTACGGGGTTGTGTCACACTGCACAGTTTATCAAACTTTACCAGAATGATATTTTCATTATTAGCAAAAGCAGAAGATAATCTTCAGAAGTTTCAGAAGGTCTGTTTTGGCAAACCTGATTGAGGCAATTGTTACAAAATGATGACAATATTAAAACTGTCATCACTATATAGTAGCTTCTTTAATTTTGTGTTAATGGAATGCAAAACCAGCCATTCCTTTGCCTCTCCCAGAACTGATATCAAACTCTTGGGAGAGGGCTGGATATCATAAAAAAGTATAAGAAGTATTCCTTGCTGCTTTTGGAAATGTATTGCATGTCTCACAGTTCTCTGAGATTTTGTGTCTCTTCCAAACTTTCTGTATTAGTTGATCAGAGATTCCCAACAGCTCCTCTTTTATACTTGGCTGCAAGTTATTCAAATATGAACATTTAATAAGCCTAATAATTTCATGCCTCTTCCTGGATTAATGCTGAAATATGCTCACAACATCATCCACTGCATCACAGAAATAGTGGTTGGATATAGCTGCCTTTTCTGTGTAATCACTGATAATCTGAGTATTTCCACTTCATTAATTTAATACAGGGTGAAAATCAGAAGAGATCACCAGACCCTCTGGTTCAGCCTCCAGAACATCATATGTATAATTCCAATTCCTTAAGAAGTGTGAAGAGTTATATAAGGCAGGACACATAAGTTTTGGTGATGTAATAGGGAGAGCTGGTGCTGATGCAGATATGTTAAGCCTTAGGTACCTCTCTCAGCCATTGCTTCCTGGCCCATCCTCATGTGGAACCAGCCTTTTGCGGGCTCAAAGAGGGCAAGTGAATAAACCATTGTATTAAGGCATTTAAATCAAGTTTAAAGGCCAACGAGTATAATGAAATACGGACTGAGAAAATGGAATTTGTTTGTGTCTACATGTTCCTACTGGAATAATTATTCCCTATTGGAAACTTTTGCCTGTCAATCCCCAGCTATTTAAAACTGCAACAACAATATCCAGTTGTTGCTTTCTTGTGTCCTCAGTCTTTATCCTAGCTTTTGTTAGGGACAATGCAGTGGTATTCATCGGCAACAATAAGACTGTTATGTTTCATTGTGTTTTTTTCCAAAGCTATACAATGTTCTAGCCATTATGGAAGGGTTGCAGTCAGCTGAGTGATGTTTACATGTCACTTCCATACCCTAATAAGAGGTATGAAAGAAAGTGTATTGTAACCAGCAGGGGAGAGATTCAGCTTGGAAGGCTGGGACTTCTGCCTCGTATAGAAACGCAGTCAGGGAATACAGCACTGCACTGCCTAGTGTGCTTTTATTTTTGGCCTCTGCTTTAGTGGCACGAGTGTCAGTAGTACCTGCAGCAAACTGCTTATTCATGCTGCTGCTGTGATCGTTTGCTTTTGGGCAGCATTAATTTTGTGGCTGTGCTAAGTTAGGAATCCATTTCCAAGGACATCAATGGTGTGGCTGTCTGGCTTGTCCTGGCAGCAGCCGGTCTCGTCCGTGTGATGGGGTTGTTCTTGACTCTGTTTGCTGGCATTCCCATAAAAGCATTCCCACACACCTACGCCAGCGGGATCAGCACTTTTTCTGGAAGCGGGGTCTTTCCAGCTTTTTCTAGGATGGTGGCTCACAGTCACATGCTGGAGGTGACCGGCGTTTCTGATACATTCCTCGGGCATTTCTCTGTGTTTCTCAGCCCTGGTTCTTGTGGCTGGGCTCTTCTCTTTGTAGTGGCAGCTCATTTCACAAGACTCATGGAAGTCATATGGCTGCCTGAGGTCATCACAGAGGAGAAGAAGATCCCGAGTTTGCAAATATGTGGGTTGAGCCTGGGGGTGCATTTCTGACACAGCTGTCAGGCAAAGCAGAGGTTCCACCACATTTCTGCCTTTCAAACACGGCATCCTTGACTCTTGACACTTTGGCTTCTGGGAACTACAGCTATTGTCTGTATTCATGGGAGGTTGAGAGAGAGCAGGAATCCTAATAATTAAGACTTCTTGGAAGAAGAAATTAAATCTGTTCCTTAGTTTGGACATGGGTGGAGCAGGATTCCCCTTTCTGTAGCCAGCTGGAGAAACATCTTCATATCCCCCAGTGTCTTTGACAGTAACAAGGCAGGAGGAAGATCTGAGATGTGCTGGTAGTTACTTGCTTCCAGGTAATCAGACCCCAGTGCTAAATCACTCAGTTTATTAGTCAAAAGCTATGTTATGGTTTTAAACATTCTTCTTGATAAAATAAGGGCTATTTTGGTAGAACAATAGAGCTTGTGACCCCAGGTAGTATTCTTAACTATATATAGATGGCTTTTGGTGTTTCTTCCCATGACTGCACTCTGACTGTTTATATAATTTGCCATTAGTCATCAACAGACTGCATAGATTGCTGGTTGAGGAGCTTGTCTCAAACTGAGTGGTTAGTCAAGTGCTATGGCAAATGCGAGCCTTTCTGAGGAAAAGATCGTGTCTCAAGGCAGTGCCCATTCTGGATTGGGTCCTAGTTGGAAGTTAGGAAGGGTTTCTGCTCTGTGATCCCATTTGTGTAACAGTTTTATGATTCTATGATATATATGCCTGAGAGCTTGAAAAGGCACTTTAGCCTTCTTCTCAGCCCATGTTTATCAGTTTTGGTGGGAACTCTTTTCCCATCAATAATATGTTTTTCTTCTTCAGGAGATGAGGAAAATGAGGTTTACTTTGCCATGAGACACTGGATTTTGGTCCCAGCCCCGTTGAGCTGGAGGAGCTGGTGCTCTTGCCCACCTTATAATTGCTTATGAGCTTGGATACTGTACCTTGTCCATTACTGTACCGCTCCAGGTTAAACCTCATCACAACCAGGCTGGGAAGGAATGTGTCTCTTTGTGAATTCCTCAGAGACTTCTGGTTCCTTGCCTTCCTCTGTAGTGTAGAGCGCACTGGATTAACCTCACCTGGAAAACCCACCCACTAAATTCCTTGTAGGTGACACTTCTTATTCTTCTTGTAACTATTATATTTATAACTTTTGATATTTTACTGTAGGCTTTGTACTTTCCTTGGCTGTTTGAGGGGATTCTGTGCAGACTATTATCAAATGAAAATATCAAAAAGAGAGAACTAGGGAAGAATGGCTGGTTGGTGCTGTCAGGCAGCACACAAAGTCCTGCATTTTGGCACTTTCTTCAGGTGGACAAGGCCATTGTCTTCAAGGCCTATGAAGCAGTCCCTTTGTGGTGTGTGGTTGCCACTGGAAATATTGCCAAGTTAAGAGAGAAGTGGGAGTGTGACAGTGCCTGGGACTTGCTTCCCCACTGCCTGCTGTCTTTGCAGGCCAAAGAGATGGTTTGATTGAAAACTTGACTGCTGCACTAATGTGCAGGCACTGGTGAGCTGCTGAATGCTGAGAGTGCTTCTAGTGCACATATTTTTTAGAATTTTTTTCATTAAAACCAGCAGTTTAGTAAAAGTAGGGGAAAAAATGTTAATTTTACTGCCAAGCTCTTGAAGTGACCCATTTCCTCCTTCTGTCTTGAGCATTAGAGACCTTACTTATTCTTGTTTATGAAATCTGAGGTTACATATACACCTACAATTGTTGTGTCACCTTCTGCCTCTGTAGAGCTGAGTGTTGACTGCAGGTGTTCTGTGGAGACTGAAGGCAGAATAAAAATGCCAAGTAATTGGTACTCCTGATTCTCAATCCAGCATGTCTTGTGTTGCAGAACATAAGTAAAATGAAAGGGAAGATCTTCAGAGAGCTGCATGCAAATTTTGACTGGTTGTGGTTTTCGAAGTCAAGGAACAAGGCGATACAGAGAATGCTTTTTAAGCTGTTCTATCAAATGTCATATCTCCGTTTTAATATTTTATGTGATGTGGCTTCTTTCAGATGATCAGCTGGATTATCTGAGATCAGAGAAAAGGGAGTGGTACTACTCAGATGCAGAAAATAGGAAGAGAGTGCTGCCATGGCAGGGTAGGGCACAGACACACTGACTGCAGAGCACTGGCTATTTGTGGAGCTTGTTTCAATGTACACAATCTCACAAATAGCCAGTCAGAATTACTGAAGTGGAGGTGTTTTATTTATAATCAATAAGTTTAAAACAAACTTCAAAAAAAGTTTATACAACACTATTTTAGAATTTTTCCCCTGGTATTTGTTAGATAAGACCGGTAGATATTTGTTTTCTGGACAACTTTCCTATTTGTTTGCTTACTAATTGTAATGGAAAGACCTACTAAATTATGTATCTGTGTTAAACAGCTTGCTTTTCAAACAACAAAGGAAATTGGCCACAACTCTCATTTCTTCTTTTATCTTTCTCTTAAAGGGCAACACTTTAAGGAAAATCCTCCTGTATCGGTACTTTAAAGGGGAATATGGAAGTGGTATGAATGGGCCCCTGTCTGCCAGCTACAGCAAAACTGCACAAGTGGGAGGTAAATCAACACACATCATTTCAAGAGAGCAAAATTAGCAGCACCATTTTTTTGTAATAGGCACATTGGACATGCTCCAGGCATTCAGTTGGTAAATAAATCAAACATGTTCTGTAAGCACTTAGAAGAGAGGTAGTATCAGACTCCTCTATTTTTAAGTTGCACACACTTCTCTCAGATTGTGCATTTGGAGGTACCGAAGTAGGTACCAGTAAATTCCCCATCCAGAAATTCTGCAAAGCAGAAAACTTTTGAAGAGACATGATGTTGTTTCTGGAAACTAAAGAATGTTTTGACATTCCGGATCCTTTATTGGTATATGAAAAAGGTAAGATCTAAGGAAAAGCTTCTCACAAAAGTACTCACAAAAGACAACGGAGCAGATTTTCCTGAGAGGTTGTAGAATGTTTCAGTTCTTGTTAGAGCTTTACTGGACAAGAGTTGGATGAATTTGTCCTATCTTCCTGTGAGCAAGAAGTTTCAGTATCAGATTTCAGATCTCTGTAGGTCCATTATAACCTAAGTTTTTGTATCATTCTGCTGTAGAAGCCACAGGAAGTTACTGCGGGATGGTTTCTAGGAAAACCCATAATAATGGATATCATAGGAAATGAGGCTGGAGCTAGGTATAGAGCCAGGTCAGAACTGCATTTCCAGTGCACACTGAAGGCATGCCCAATTTGTCACCTTTTGCAGATGTTACCGAGCTGTTCCTTTCTAACTATTTCAATGTAGACACTGAAAATCTTTGCAGTCTTAACACCCTATATGCCAATTTCACTCTTTAACAAACAAGAGACTGAAATTTTACTATTTTTTTAGTTCTCTCTAAAAAGTGTGTGTGTGGCTTCATCACAAAGTCTGAAGCATTTTAATCAGCTTAATCAAAGTAGTACTTGCTGATTAAAGCAATACTGTATTTTTACTAATGAAGTAGGCACAGTTACATCTTTAGAGAAGTAAGTATAGCAGGAAAGATGATCATCTGTGATAATAAAAGGTGGTTGATTTAATGAGCTAATACAATTTAGCAAGATTTCTTCAACCCACACCTTTAATTTGGATTAACTCAAGTCTGTGTTCTTAAAGAAGACATCATCATGATGATGGTGTAGATGATGATGATGATCTAGGAGCTGGCAAAAGCATTTGGCTGGAAAGTCAGACCCATAACCAGAAGACAATTTTAATGTAGAATACACCTGAGATTGAAGAGCAGATTTTAAAAGGGTCTCAGAGCACTGACCCTAGTCACAGTTTAGTGTATGCAGCAGTGGAATTAAAAAAGGGTTCAGTGAACAAATCCATGTCCTTTCCAACTTATTTATTGTCTGAATATCATGACAGAACAATGACTTGGGGATTTGTTTTATTTCTTATTCTTAGAGTGCAACATTGCAGTTTCTTACAAATATCTTGTTTTTATCAAAGGGAATTTTACCTGACAGAATTATGTTGCTATTGTGTGCTTTATCACTACTAATAGGTTCATTTTCATATATGTGTGTGAAGAAAACATGAATGGTATTTGTGTATTTGTCTGATTTGCAGGTGGATTTTCGGGACAAGATGCAGATAAGTCTGGGGTGACCATGTTTGATATCCAGTGCCTCCTGGACAAAGAAGGTGCCTCAGAGCTGGTCATAGATGTGATAGTGAACACCAGAAATGACAGGATTTTCTCAGAAGGCATTCTGCTCGGTATTGCACTGCTCGAAGGTGGAAATACACAAACACAGGTACTTATTTAATCTGCTTATTCACATATTGATTCTCAGATGCATGTGGTCTGGAGACAAGTAAAGAGAAACCTTTTGGTGTGAATTCTGTGAAGTTTGTCACTAGAATATGTACCACTGTAATGCAAATGTAAATATTCCCTATTACTATGCAGTAGCTCTTCAGCAGAAGAAAATGTTTTTCAGCTGTCCCTCCCTGTGTAGCACCATGCTGCTTTTAATCTGGTCATTGCCATGTGAGCATTATCCCCAGTTATTTTATGTCACCCTTTGTAAAATCTAAAATGGTAATACTTCTGAGTTTAGTGAATTCTTTTCTGGAAACTTTCAGAGACATTTATCAAAATCTCCAAAGAGAAAATAACCTGCTCATTTGAGAAGACCAGTATTCCAGCTGATAGAAAATGTCTGCTTTAAACTATGCATTTCTATGTTTTTTTTTTAATTATATCCCTCTCAACCAGATTTAGCCAAATCAGACAACTGAGGGAAAACAGAGAATTGATATGATGAGGGAAGGCTGGGAGAATTTGGATTGTTTGTAAACTGTTGCAAATGGTCCTCAGACTGCTTGACAGTTATATTAAGGGACTGGAATTTATAATCTAAAATAATATTTAATAATAAATTCTGTCTGTAGCACAAAAAAAAGAATATAATCCAAGGTATAATATTACATATTACATGTTCCATGCTTTCTCTTGTTGTTACATAATAAGTTACTTTTCACTGTTATTTGTAGATAGAATATTGTGACTAGTAAGCCTAGAGAAATGGAGAGTGTCACAAAGTAATTTAACTTCAAGTACAATATTGTGACATTTAAAAGACTGCAAATAGCACTGTTCACTGTTTTACCCAAATTTTAAAACATTATTATCAAGGCTGGCCTTTGTTAGCAGCCTTGTATATCACTTCGTGAAAGAATGGTCAGGCCGTGGCCAACATTTGTTCTGTGTAAGTGAAGTAATTATTCATCATTGGTTTGACAAAAAAAAGTAGTGTATTTTTGTATTTCTTCTTCCTTAGAAGATTGATATCTAAAGAATTTACTTTTTTTTTTTTTTTTCAGTATTCGACTTACCAGCAACTAAAGGAGCAGAAAAAGTCAGAAAGGTTCTTTAAAGTGCTGTATGATCGCATGAAAGCTGCTCAGCAGGAGATCCGATCCACAGTGACAGTGAACACTATTGATTTGGGGAGCAAAAAGAAAGAGGATGACAGTGATCTCACCATATCTGTTCCCAAAAAGAGAGGTAAGGAAGCACCTCTGGGAAAGAGGGGAGCAGGGCATTATATTGACACTGCATGTGCTGCACCACTGATGCTCTGCTGAGCTGATCAATAAGCTTTCATATTAATCATTGCCAATTTGCATCCTTTGCCTGTTTTTCTCTGAATTACAGTCCATCTCAGGTTGGCTACAAGGAATTAGTTTTAATGAAATCAGTAAAGCTCTGCCAGTTTGCATCAATAAAAGATACTGAGCCGTATTTTTAGAGGAGGAGAAGCAGAGGCTGCCGCTATTGGGGATATTTCACAAGAGCAGGCGCAGGAACTGATTTCCCACCCTGTGGTCTTCCCATTGTTCTCATCATTTATTGTATATGGGAGAGAAATAGTAGGGCTTTTTGTGTTAATGTTCTATTTCACTCTGGTTTGTGGTTTATTTGGAACATGCTATCCCTGCATGAATGTTGCTTTGATATTCTTTGTGAGTTGCCTAGAGGTCTTTGAAAAGTTAGGCACCAACAAAGAAAAAGTTGCATTCGTTATTATTGTTTTCTTATTGTTTAATCAAATGGGGAGAAAGACTTCCAAAAATGAAGGAAAATTATCTTCTTTTCAGTTAAGGATTCAACCCTGCATCTGAAAGAGGGAATGAAAGGACAGTTAACAGAAGCATCTTCTGCAACCTCCAAGGCTTACTCTGTGTACAGAAGAGAAATGGACCCAGAAATAGATCTGATGGGCTCAGGAGCAGATGCTGCAAATGCAGAAGAGAAGTCTGCGGAAGAAGCAATCATGAGCCCTGCCATTGCAATCATGCAGCCAATACTGAGATTTCTTCAGCTGCTGTGTGAGAACCACAACCGAGAGCTCCAGGTAAAGTGTTTCGAGCTGAGCTTTTATAGGGCTGTTATTAGAGGGGCTGCACCTTCAAAAGGGGAGAAAAACATGCCTGTGCCTGGCCCCTGTTACAGAATAGGGCTGTCTGAGATGTTGGGTTTTTTTGGTCCAAGGGATAAAATAACCCTTTTCAAGAACCATTTGGGTTCTGTGTTGGAGGAGTGCATGTTTATATCCTCAGAATTGCTTGGGGATTTCAGCACAGCCACATGGAACTAAGAAGGGTCTAAATGTCTCTGTTAGTAAGGTTCCTGTGCACAACTGGTAGATCACTTACCACAGACTTGAAGAGCACAGGAAGTTTCTGGATAGTGCCCTTTTCCCAAGGTTTCTTTCCTTACAATTGAAGGCTTTAAGATGCTCTGTGTGTCCCTGCTATCAGTTCTTTTGGTAGAGATTACTGTCCCCATAGCAACCTCTGCAAAATGTATTTTCTGCAAACGTACCTCAGTGCTGTGGCCAGGAGCCTCCCTTGCAGCTGTGGAAGGGAGGTTTCAGCTGAGCTCCATAATGTGCCACCAGACCTGCTCAGCTGTGGGGAACGGCTTCCAAGAGAGGGGCTGTAATGGGTGTGTGGGAGCAGGTCTGCAGGACATATAAAAGACATTTAAGGCCGGTGCAGATGTTTGCCAAGTTCACTTTCCTAAGCCCTCCTTGCTCTATGATTTAAGGAAATAATAGTTCTCAATTGCTGCATTAAGGCCTAATATATTTTCTACAGTAGTGCAGTGTAGTTCAGTACCTGGACACAGTGGCCATGTGGAATTGTATCCTTCAATGTTCTCATGAAAAAGACTTTGTTTGCCTTGATTCTTTTTTTTTTTTTTTTTTTTTTTTTTTTTTTTTTTTTTTTTTTTTTTGTGTTCCTTTCCTTCACCCACCAGAATTTTTTAAGGCATCAAAACAATAAAACAAATTACAACCTCGTTTGTGAGACCCTTCAGTTTTTGGACTGCATCTGTGGGAGCACCACAGGTGGGCTGGGCTTATTGGGGCTTTACATCAATGAGAGGAACGTGGCTCTTGTCAACCAGACGCTGGAGAGCTTGACGGAATATTGCCAGGGCCCGTGCCATGAAAACCAGGTAGGGCTCAAGAACTTCTGGATGCAGAAGACTATACTTGAATGTTGGTGTCAGGGTGCCTATCACAAACCTTTCAGTATTCCTGATAGCATAAATCCACTTGGAGCTGCTATGACTAGACACTCTTCAAGCTTTCCTGAGGCCTGAGGGACCCTTTCAAGTCAGAACTCAAAACAGGCTCTTCCTACTTCTTCTTCCTCTGAGGGTTTGCAGTCCTTTTGGAGACAGTTTCATATTTTATGTTGCTGTGTCCATGGCTTAAACCTCACTTTGTGAGATGGTATTTGGAGTCACAGTTTCAGAAGCTCATTGCACAGACTTACGTTCTTCATTTTCACACATATTGCTGGTGTTTATACACCTTGCTAACATTTACTTTCCTTATTTCACATAACTGCCACAAAGTCTAACTTGCTTTCCTGCCATACCACCTAGCAGCATCTTTAATTATGATATCAGTAGTGAAATGGATAAGACTAAAGACCATGCTTCTTATCTCCTGTGCCTTGCTCACTACAGCCTTTTGAAGTCACACAGCTGTGACTTTTACCAAAAGTCTCTTTAGTGCCGTGCTGAAGAAGTGCGGAAAGGTAAAGGATGTGATTACATACTGCCATATTTGATCTGAAGAGAACTGCAGTAAAGTTGTCATAGTGGATGAAACAGCAGAATTTTTGCTGTGGATTAGCAGTGGGAAAATTGTGGCAAGCAAAATTACAGAAGCAATCTGTTCTCTATGCTAGAAATAGCTGAAGAAATACATGCAATATTAATGCTTCTTCATTAATGTGCACCAGTGAAATGCAAAGTGCTATTACTGCCATTGCTAGTAATCATCTCCCTTTATTTAATATTTTAAAAACAAACAAAAATCCTTTAGTGGACTTAATTTTGAACAGTCATATTTAATCCACTTATGAATGGGAAAAACAACGGTTAAAAAAGTATAGCTACATGACTGGAGATGAAAAAATATGTTACAAGTTAACGTGCTCTCCAACAAAGTTATGTGAGAAGCACTGGAGGAACACTGATATGAAAGGGAATGATGAATTACACTTTATTACTTAGACCTGTCTTCTGGGAAGTCACTCAGGATCTGAGTTACAATTGTTTACACCAACTGCAAGTCAAATTCAATATATTTGAGGAGCAAATGCTCCACGCTTTCCTTTTAATTTTCTCCCCTCTCTCTGTCTTTCTGGAAGACTTTTCCTTTCCTATTGTCCCATAAACCTGCCAGGGGAAAAAGTGCCATAGGCTCTTGTATAACTGACTGTTGTGCACAAGGCCTAGAAGGTCCAGAACTCCACCTATAAAGGCATTTGGGAAGTACCACTGGTCACAAATACAGTTTTGAATTCCCTATCCAGAAATACCTGTCTTTGCAGGACTTGTCCAGATGCATGGAGAGAGCTTTGATTTTCATGAACATTTTGTGCTGTAACAGCAATATTAATGCTGGCTGCTGAGGGCAAATGAAGAATCTGAGCGTGCAAATTTGGTTGTGCCTGCAGTCGAGCTTGTCTTTTATGTCTGAGGCTGGCATGTGCTCAGCTGAATCTGGCAGTACTCCTGAGGGCTGCTGTCTGCAAGTTGTACCGCTTGGTGCCAAGCCCTGCGGGATTCTCTGGGAGCAGATTTTAGCTTGCACCACCTTTTTTCCAGTTGGGTATTTCATACTGGCGGTGTTTGGGTTAGTTCTGTGCACACAAGTCTCCCCCAGCACTGCATGTGGTGTGTTTTCAGGCTGTTCTGCTTTGGCTGAAAGGTTATCACTGTTCCAAGGTGTTTTAAGTTTTGAGTCCTTTTGGAAATTTGCTGATATGCATATTCTCTTCCTCCCTCTGGCTGTATCGTCTCCCTCTTTTTCCCTCTCCTCCCCTCCCTTCCTTCTGCCCCTGCCCCATTTCCTTCTCTCCTCTTATTTTGCAGACATGCATAGCCACCCATGAGTCTAATGGGATTGATATTATAATTGCTCTCATCTTGAATGACATAAATCCTCTTGGCAAATACTGCATGGACTTGGTGCTTCAGCTCAAGGTACAGTATATGTAAATTTGTTTATTTGAATTTGGGTAGCAACAGAAGACCTAAGTACGTGAGAGCTCTAGGCAGCCTGACATTTACTTAATCTTACCATAGCGCAGTATATTCAGAAGCCTTTGGAAAAAAAAGATTGCAAATGAGTTCATCTCAGCTTCTGAATCCTTATCAGGCCCTCTGCCACAGGCCTTTTGACCCACTGCTGTGTTTGGGACTATGTCCTCAGTTGTTTGTTTTTTTTTAAATCCTACAATCAGGCATGACACAGCTAGCATGAAAAGTCTGTACTGTGGATGTAAAACCTCTCAAGATTGATAAATAGCCACACTATACAGGCATGCAACAAATCAGGCATTCTCTCTAAATACCGAACTCTTAAAAATTATTTGAGAAGGAAATGCTGTGAAAAAAAATAATACATCAGATGACCTGCAATGTCAAATAAAGTTGAAAACGAGATTCAAGTAAATTGTACTTTATTTCCCTTCTCAGTGTCCTCTGAGGGGAAACACAAAGTGTGGAGTGTGAGGGCAAAGCCTAGAGTGGGAGGGCTTATAATGTAATTGTTCTGTGTTCTGGGGAGAGTTGGACTGGCTTGTAGATAAGTTTCTCCTGCCTCTCTGTCAGTGCATGCAGAAGGGAGCTCTGCAGCTGTAGTGTCTGCCAAGCAGGGTAGAATCTGTCCAGGAGGAGCCCTGGGTTGTTGCCTTTTCTTGCCTCCAAAATTAAGTATTTCCATTGCAGATGGTCTGTTTCCTCCCCAGACCAGCAAATACTTTGTGGTAGCTGCATTGCATCATATTGGCAATGTTATACATGTCTAATAAAATAATTAATAGAGCTATATATCATGTACAATGAAACATTGAATCAACAGTGCCTTACATATGATTTTAATAACTGTAATTACATTTTTGAATGGCAATGTAATTCAGGCCCCCCTCTAGCAAAACACTTAGGCAGACATTTAACTTTGAACACACAGACAGTTCTTTTGAAGTCTGAATTTCAGTCTCTGTAAAGATGTAGCTGCGTTCACTCCAGTGCCATTTTGATTTGCCATTGTCATGAGGCTAGCAAATGCTTGTAGAACAGCTTTTCTCTGTAGTTACTAAAAACAGAGTTGAGACACACCTCTGCAAGGACCAGTGTGACCCTGTTCACAGGAGGCTGGCTGTGCTCAAACTAACTCAATTAACAAAAATTGTGGTGAATGATAGCACAAGTTCAGACTGTGGAAATGATTCAGATTTTACAGAATCACAGAGTCATTTCCTTTAGTAGGGATGTCTCGAGGTCATCTTGTCCAAGCCCCCTGCTCAAGCAGGATCAGCTAGAGCAGGTTTCTCAGGACCATGGCCAGCTGAATATCTCAACAACTGGAGACTCCATAAGCATTTTGAGCAGCCTATCCCACTGTTTGATCCCTCTCACAGTATAAAAGTGTTTCCTTGTGTATAGATAGAATTTCATGGGTGTTTTGTCTCTTGCCTTCTCATTGGGACACTGCTGAGAGGGTCTGGCACCCTCTTCTGCATTTCTTCCCACCAGGAATTTATACACATAGATAAGATCTATCTAAACCACTTGTACTAAAGGCTGAAGTCACAACTTTCAGTGGCTCCTTAAATTAAAAATGTTCCATTCCCTTCATCATTTTTCTGGCTTTTTGCTAGACCCATTCCATTATGTCCATATCATTCTTCTACTGGAACTGGACACCTTACTGGGCAAGATGTGATCTCAAGAATTGGATCCAAGTTAAGAAGCTGCTGTTTTTGATTTTGAGTGGTAACACATTGAAATGCATTTTCCCATGCCATCTTATTTTAGCCTGTTTTGCACATAGTTTTTGATGTGGTATTTAATTACATTTTCATGGATTATATTTTCCAGTGGACTCCCTAATCGTTTAGTGAGCAGAGCAGACAGTGTTCACTGAGTGCACAGATGGCCAGTGTTCTATTCTGTCTCTTTTTATTTCGAGTGTGACCCCCTGGCCTTCCTTACTGACCAGTATGTAAGCCCTGACACACAGTAAGAGCTCAATACCTGCCACATCTGTGACAGGATGAAGAGACATTGTCAGTCTAAAGGTACAGAGAGTTTAAAACAAAGTGTCTTTTTTTTTTTCCTCATAGCTCTATCTTGTTGCTTCACTCATTAATTTGTTTTTCCAAAATTTTTATTAGGAGATGAGATGGGAACCCAGGTAAAAGTGAAATGAAGAGTAGAAGTGCTTTGGGCTGTGCTGTTTTTTAGCACCTGGGAACTGATTTTTCACAGTATGAATGTGTTATGAACTTTGTTTTGTATTTTCCAAGTGATGGATATCTTTTTTTCACTGATGTTTGGGATTGGAAATCAGACCCTAGGCTCTCCAAATGTGCAGAAAGTGAGAAATAAGTAGCCAAATAACCATCTCAAATGCCTGCTGTAATTTTAGACCATGACAAGGCATTTTTGCTGAGTCAGTAGCAAGAAGCTGGCTGTTGATGAAACTAAGTCCTACCCTTCCCAGCTTCCTGGGAGCTGCATCAGGCTTCTGTCCATCCCCAGGGTTGTCTGCATTGGGAAAGAGCTTCAAAGTCCTCCTCAGCCATGAGTGAATGGATTGATGCCTTCCTCCTGTTTCCTCCCTTTCCTTACCAAGCTACTGGGAGCCTGTCATGGTCCCTTCCCTCCTCCTTGGTTTGAGATCCTGCCAGTGATAACACTCCTGACTTGTCACCACTTTAAGAGAAATCTGCAGCAGTAAAGGAAGCATCCTACTCTTCAGAGCAGCATCCTGTTAGTAATCCTGACCAAAATGCTCTTCTCTACCTCCTCCTGTTCTCATTCACTGTGCACATTAAAATTCTGCAGTGCCAGTCACCAGGTAAAGAGTCTGACGAGACCTTTCCCATGGATGGTCCTGATTTGATTTGGAAGCAAAAGGAAAGGGACATGGCAAAACTCACATGGAATGCTGTTCTCCTTGAGCCAGTCCCAGTTAGGTCTTCTCATCTCTTGTTCTTTGTCCTTATCTCATTCCTGTGTTGGCAAGCCCAGGCTCCTCTGTCCTGGCTTCTGTCTCAGCTCCCAGTCTCTTCTCCCAGAAGTTTCTAATTCCCCAGTTACGTACAAGTCTTCATTCTAATCTACTCTCCTTCCACTTACCTTCAGTCTCATCCTTCAGTCCTCTAGTCAGAGGTGTTTAATCCTCAGCCTAACACAGCCCTGAGCAAGCTGCTTTGAGCAAGGGCTGGACTGCTGGAATCTTAGTCCAGAGGGCAGCCTTTAGTGTGTGGTTTTATGATCCAACCTGCACAGTTTTGTGATTCTGTGCTCACCAAGAATAATCCCTGTGGGCTTTTAGCTGTGAAATTAGTGTGTTTCTGCTCTATAGTACTCAAATTGTAATTTACAAAATGCTTTTGAGTTGGACAAGTTTGACTGGGACACTACAACTCATGTGACTGTTCTATTGACCTCTAGTGCTCCGTATTTTCAGCTCTATTATCAAAACTTGGGGATACAAAGGCTCCTTAAAACATGAGTTGCTTGAACATGTAGGAAGTAACATCTTTCCTTTGCCCTGGTCCCAAAAGCAGCTGAACCCTTTTCCTCTGAAGCTGTCCATGCCAATTATCTGAGGCACACCCTCACCGGAGAAATTTTGGCTGGAATTGTTGATAATGGCAATAAGCAGCTGAGAATGAGGTTATAGGGTGGGTTGGGAATTTTCCTGGCCCCTACCTCTTCCCTTGGGACTGTCACTTGCTTCCAAGTGTTCCAAGAGCTCAGTCTGTAACAGGCAGTGATGAGGATGCTGTGGCAGGTCAGCCAAGGCAACCCTGCTCTGGCAGAAAGCAGCCAAACCTCCAGAACCATTCTTCCTCTTCACCACAGCTGATTTAACTGGAAGACAGGCAGGTCTCTGAAGTCTGAGGCACCACTGGGCTACAGCAGCTAAAGCTCATGCTGGGTAATCCTGAGGAGCGGTCTTGATGAAAAGCAGCCAGTTGACAAGGCAAAGGTTGTCTTTATATATTCTCACAGGAATATTTAGTAGTGAAACAAAATCTCAGGAGTGTATGAAAACAGTTCATTTTACAACCTTTCAAATAATAACCAGTTTGACTTCATAAAAACCAAAGGGGAGGGAAACCTGCCTGAATGATAAAACCTTTTGTGTAACGTGTTTTGTAATTACCTCTGCTGAGTCTCGTTTTAACAAAAGCCAAGGCAAAAAATTGCTAGGTGAGCAATAAGGAAAGGAAATAGAATTTAACTTCTCATGAACAGTCTGCAGCAACACTCTGTATCAAATATTTTTCAGTGTTTAAAATTTTCCTTCCAATATAGAGTGCAGAATTAGTGTTACGGTATGCTGACATTAAAAAAGAACCTATTAAATACATCAGTAAAATAAAAGATGCAAGTGGTTGAAAATCTTATCCACTAAAAAAGTGGTCCTCATAATCTCAATTAAAACAAATGCAAGGGTCATTAATCCATGAAAGAGATTTAAAATTTGCATTAATTTGGTTTTGTATCTCTAGAACAATGCCTCCAAGCTTTTGCTGGCTATTATGGAAAGCAGGCAAGACAGTGAGAATGCGGAAAGAATCCTTTTCAACATGAGACCAAGAGAACTGGTGAGAAAACTTGTGAATATTCATAAATCTTTTGGCTGAAAAAAAATCTGTCATTAAAACATTTCTAAAATGATCTGTATCTAAGTTGAGAAGTGTTGGCAGCGTATGGTGGCACAATGTATCAGGATAGTACTAATTCACAAAAAGTACTTTAAAAGGATCAAGCATGCATGATTTCAGTCTTTACGACTTCATTATTTTTATCCGTTCCAAGCACTTTTCTGTAATTGTTTCCTAACTAAATTATCATATTCTGGTAGACTGTCTTCAAGTGCAGTTTGTCAGGGGTTGGCAAATTAAGCTTGTACAGTTTGTGAAGCAGTGCTAAGAGAAATGTGTGTGTAGACATAGAATGTATTTAATATACATATATGTTATTTGTTTATGTCTCATGAACAAAGAGAGTTCCAAGCAGTTGTTGCTGTGTTTTGGAAAGACCCTGATGTTTATGGAGGTCTCCAGGAACTTTAAATGAGTTGGAAATCTGGCGAAGTAATTTCCAATACAACTTGACTGTGTAACAACAGAAACTGAGAGATCTGGGAATTCTTACGGGATTCTGGGGAAGAATCTGGGGTCATGGTCCCTGCCTTAGGCAGAGCCCAATGCCTGCTGGCATTGTGCTGCTGCTTGCTCTGGCCAGAAGAAGATCGTGGCTGCACTCTAAATGCTACACAGCACTCCCTGCCATATCTAGACCAGTCTTTAGAAGCATTTATGAAAAATACCCTCTCACAAAGGCTCAGCATTCCCGTTCCTTTCTCATGGTTGCTGATGAAAAATGTAGCAGTTTGGAGCTTCATAAATCCTTCAAGCTTGTATTTATCCAGAAAGTGCTTCTCAGGCTGCTCACCCTTCTTGCAGAACTGCAGGGCACCCATCCAGGCTGAAGCTGAACAAAGTGGCTGTGTTCAAACACAGTGTGTTTTTTCCCCAAGAACCACATTTATTTCATCTCTCTCTGGCTTGGTTTGTGTTGCAGGTGGATGTGATGAAGAATGCGTACAACCAAGGTCTGGAATGTGACCATGAGGAGGAGAATGGAGATGATGGCATCTCCCCAAAAGATGTTGGCCATAATATCTATATTTTGGCACATCAGGTATGTCTTACTTGTTTTGTGATGGCTTCCAGAAAAGCACTGCATGGTTAAACTCCACGTTGTCACAGGTGGAGTCATGCACTTCAGTGGTAAGAGAAAAATAACAATGTTTTTATTGATGAAAAACAAAGTTTGATAGCAGATGTTACAGTGGGTTAATAAGGTTCAGTGGCAGGGCACACTTGATTGCTTACTGCATACAGGACAGGCTCAGCCAACACTGTCAGGGAGATCCTCCTGTTGAGTCATGGTATTAAGGAAAGCTCCCCTTGCATTATAAACTCCTTCTCAGAGGGGAGTTTAGGTGCAGTTGGATCCAGACTTAGTCCCAGCTTTGCCCGACAGTTTCTGTCTAAAGGTTTATCTGCACATGATCAATCCTTTATATCATTTAGCCATCAAGATTTCAGAGTTTGGCATTCTCTTAACCACTTAGCAAGAGTCTCTCATGGTAAGGAATCCCTCAGTCTTGAGGAACAACCTTGGGAGCCATCCCTTGCCCAAGGGGAGATCCTGAATATGTTGGTACTCCCATTTAGGAGAAATTTCACACAAACTGTTATTTGCAATAGAGTAGTGTGAGTAAAACAGTGACTGTCCACTTAGCTTTGTCTTCTTTTAACATTAACAGATTATTTATATCAATCAAATCACAAATTGTGTTACCATTACTGGTATATTTTAAATAGTGCCTTCAGTTGTGATACCAAGTGAACTTGATTTCAGAAGATTCCTATTATTTTAGAAATATTACTTTACCAATAAGAATAATTGTGCCTCTTCACTGCTTTCTCTTTTCAAATTATGCTGTAGTGCCCTCAAGCTTTGTCTGATCACTTTTACTTCTCTGCTGGTAAAGGTAGAATGTACACGGAAGGTTGTTATTTAATGGGCTATTTATTCTTCAGAATAGCTGATGTCAAAACTAGTTTATCTTTCAATTACATTCAGAGTATTGAAATTTTTTTTTGTAATTGAAAGAGTAAGGACCATGAACTCCTTAGTTATATCATAAATAACAGAATTTGGTATTTCATATAAGGGCCAAATTTAAAAAAAGTATATTTCCCAAAGTAAGAAGAAATAAACAGATGGAGATAGGGAGTGTTCCTCATTCATTATGTTTATTAAGTGTTTTTAGGAATTGAATACTCAGTGGGAAAAAAAAAGAAAAAAAGCAATCTATAGTTACAGTAGCATTATGCAATGTTTCTTTCAAGCAAGGAATGCATAAAAGGAGTTACTGAGTTATGCTGGCGTGCTCGCATCACAGTATTGTTCTTATGTTGTCGGTGGTGTGGTTGACCATGTTCTAGTCTCATACTGTTTGTGAGGCTGTACATAAGATACCCATCAGAGATGACAGTATTTTTAGAAAGCATCTGCAGCTCCTTACCTTGTCTGAATTTACTCCTTGTCTGAATGGTTATAATGAAAATTTAAATGCCTGCCAAATGGAAATGTCGGTATTTTCTGTTTTCTGCGTACAGTTTGTGTTAAATTACTTAACAGGGTCTGTGACATGGAAAATATGGTTTGGGGGAGTGGGATATAGGCCTAAAGCTATATATGAAGTGACTGCTGGGGTCATTTTACACAAGAGGTCACTGCTAGGGGTACACCAGCTGGCTGAGGTGTAGGTTAAGCTCTGTCCCTGGAGAGGTCCATGGTGCCACTCCACAGCTATTCCTGATCCATAGCTGGATTTCAGTTGCATAAGGGTGGATATTTTTACAGCAACTTACTGAGCTTCTTCCTGTTCTGTAAAATTAAATGTCATGATTGGCTCTCTATGCTGTAAAAATATCCGTCTTTTTACAAAAAAAAAAAAAAAAAAGAAAGAAAAAAGACTGTTTTCTTTTTCTTGCATTTCTGTAACATAGTACGTGTGTTTACAATAGCTTTGCACCCATGTCAAGCCCCATATCAAAACAAAGCAATGCTAGAGCAAGCAATTTGGGGCCTTTCTGTGTCCTCTGCTAATGAAACACTACAATTCTCGGCACAGACCTGCTGATCTTTGACCCCAAACTCTTTCCATGTGTGCCCTTTTTGCTTGCCCTGGGATGGGCAGGATACAAGCGTGGACCCTCCTCAGTAAGGCCATTGTTGCTGGGTTCCTTTGCTGGCTTCAGTCTCCAAACACCCTCTGCTTTGCTGTCAGAGTGGCTCTTTGGTGCCTAGGCCTTCTGCTTGGCTTAGCTGACCTGATTTACATAATATTTCTTTGCTGTGGCACTTCATCTGACTTACCTTTCTTTCTTCAACCAGTGTGGCTCTTCAGTCACTCTCCTTACACTTCCTGGTGACCACTTGCTCTAGTTACAGCTTTTTGGTCCCTCTGTAATAGCAGAATCAAGACTGAGAGTTCCCCTTTTTGCTGTTCCAGCCCTCAAACACAGACAGTTTATTTTGGGGAGCTCTGACTTTCAGTTTTTGTCGTTGTGCTCTTCAGGGCAATGCTGGGTTCTGCATTTTGCCACCACTACATCCTTCCTTGCCCTTCCTGTGGTTGATTTTACCAGAAGCAAGAGGCATTCTTGTAAATGTTTGACCCACAGTGCATAGAAAGTTGTACATGTGTCACAAGCAAGGCTGAGATTTCTGTTAGTCGATCTTCCTTACAGCCTCCCAGCTCCTGCACTAAATGTGTGCTTGCACATCGTGCACACACAGAGGTGTGTGGGTACAGCAGCTGTGTCATTCCAGTGATCACACGTCTTCCACATGTTTCTTGGCCCTCTCTTTTCTTTATTTCTTCTTCCTCCAGCATGCCACGTGCTGTGGCTGTGCTGCTTCCCCTGCACTGACCCCAGGCTGTCTGGGCACTGCTGCTCCTCACTTTTCCTGCTCCTCTATGAGCAGAGGGGAGAAGGGAGGGCCACTGGAAGAAAGCAGAACTGAGCTGTCCATGAGGAGCTGCCCTGAGCTGCAGTTCTACTCTGCAGCCTAGTTTTGGGGCTCCTTCCAGATGTAGCTCTTCTACTGTTGCTTGTGGAACAGTGACATGAGCTGGTGCTTGAGATCACATCCTGGAAAAGTAAGCCTGTTATTGGTATGTAGAAAGAGTTCACAGCTCTCATGAAAATCCACGGAGGAGATTCTGTTTTCTTTCTCTCATTCAAATGTCATGCTCAGAGCCAAGCCTTGACCTTGACAATTTCTTGCAGTGGTCTCGGGTGTGTGCCAAAGTTGTGTTATGGACAGTTCCATCACCTCTTACACCACTTCTCTTCCAGCCTCAGTCAATAGGTGTGGTACTTTTACTGCTGTCCTCTTAAGAGCTTGTGTTAAAACTAGTCACACTTTGTTTTGCAAAGTGAGTAAAGCTGTCCACAAAGAGACTTCATCTTGATGTGATGTCCCTGTAGGAAATTATAAAAGCTTTTGACACAGCAGCACAAAAAAGTTTCATTCTTGCTCCTTATCTGCAGAAGCATTAGTGTACGAGAATCAATGGTTACACAAAGAAAGAAATTAGAAAAAGTTAAAAAAATCCTCTGGCTTTTCAGAGGGCTGCTTGAGCTGGCTGCCTGTTAGTCAACAAAGTACTTCAGAAGTTTGTAAACTAAAATACAGTACTTCATTGGCAGTTTTTCCATGAGGTTCATGATCCCTTTGATATACTATGAAGCAAGATAAGGCAGTGATTATAACTAGAGCTCCTGTATGTATATGTATGTATATGCATGTAAATATATATAAATATATATGTGTGTGTGTGTGTGCTTCTGTTAACAGAAAATACTTTGGAGTGTTTGTGTTTTTCAGCTCATGCAAACTGTCTAAATCAGGCATGGAGCCCAAGCTAAGCTGTACCTTTCAGCAGGGACTTTATTCATGAGGGTCACAAGAATGTGAAATAACTTTACATAGCTTTTTGTCAGCTTGCAGCATGGCAAGAGTGCACTTTCATCTGCCTGCAGAGCTGTGGAGAGATGTCCTTGGTCTGGAAGGATGTGAGTGGTGGGGGAGTAAGGGAGCAAACTGTAACAAAACTTTCAGATTTCCAATGCTGCATAAACTCCTCTGCCTGGTTCCCAAGGCTGTGGCAGGAGCGTAGGGGTACTGATGCAGCGTGTCTCCCCTTTCGTGATGCGCATTCCGTGCTCTCAGGCTCGCAAAATGTTTTCTCAATATAAAGTTTCTGCTTAAATGCCCTGTTGGAGATGGAGCACAGGTCTTGGAACTCCACGATACCTTTGTCACTTCCAGGTAAATAGAAGGTATTTGTTTGTTTGTTTAAATGAGATTAAGCTAAAATATTATTTAAATCCCAACCAAGAAAACTACTTATATTTATACAATTACCTGGTGCCACCAAGACTTAAGGAAAAATATTTCTTTACCCACTAAGGTTAGAAGAATTATATCACTGTCTCGTATCAGTGCAGTGAAGACAAATTTGAACCAGGCTATGTTCTTATAGACTAACACAGTTGGAGGTGTCCTTCCATTTATAAGTTCTTAAAATAAACCAAGGAAAAAGAGGTAAATCTGCTGTGAACTGTAAGGTTCTCACTGCAGGTACTGCTAAGGACACGCATCTTCCTTGCTGGTGCTCATTTTAAATGGGCTGAGCAAAACAAGTCATTCAGCCTTATATATTTTTTAGTATATTTATAACAGAATCAAGATGTTTTTATCAAACTTGGCAAGCATTATCCAACTAGTTGTCTTACTGCCATGCTTACTTCATTGCTTAACAATGTAGACAGATGAAGGGTATTTGCTAACTAGGCAATTAAAATGGCAATAATTGATGGCAAGGATTTATAGTTTGGGAGTAGAGATACACTACCAGCTATTTTTTAAAAGTTACTCTTTTTGACATTTGAAATAGGAGAGGTTTGATAATGAGACTTAGATATGATACATTCATTAAGGATAAAGTCAGTTTAAAAAAAAATAGCTATCCAAAATTCTAAAGAAAAACTCTAAGAATTGTTTCTGTGAGTGTCTCTTTAGTCTATCTTTCTGTAGCTTTCATCAGATTTGAG